TTCCTTTCTATCCCACTCAAGTGTCTATTTTACAATAGTAGGCAAGGCAAGGGAAACCAATATTCATAAGACAGTAAAGCATTTTAGTATTATTTCCCTCTTCAAAGTATGCCTAGATCCCTGTATCACAGAGCCCTGTTGTTCCAAGGCTGAGCATGCATCACTATTTACCTCTGTCTCACTTAGGCCTTGCAAACCTGTCTCAGTGTTCCCCTATCTATCTTGTTCTTCCACCTCCTCCCCCTTCTTGTATTACCCTCCCCAACACCGGAACTAAAACCCCCACCCCAACCCCATTGTTATGGTTTATGTTACATGAATTCTTTCCTCTTTAAGACAGTTTATTTTATACTGTAATCTACCTGACCTCACCACCTGGATCTCTGTTCCTCTGTGTTTACTTTCTTTCACATTGTAATTGTTTTGATCATATTTTTATCATTTTATTTTTTCTTGACTCTTTCTTTTGTCGATTGAGTTCAGGGTGATGCTGCCGTGTACGTCATTCTTGGTTGTTGTCTCTTCTTGCTGTTTAGCTGTGATCTTAATGTAAGCAGATTGCCACGCTTTTCTTCATCGGCACTGCTGAGTTGGTTCAAACCACCAGCCTTTAGGTTAGTGTTATTGCTGTGAAGTGCATCAGGTTGGTTCTGACTCGTTTCAACGCTGCATAGGTTTCCGAGGAGCGGCCGATGGGTTGAACTTAGCACTCAGTGCTTATTCTACAGCGTCACACCAAGACTCCATTAAGTTTAAACCAATGGGAAGTCGTTTTCTAGGACTAATTGTTGATTCTTTTTTTTTTTTCTGTTTTAAGGGATGATTCAGACAAACACAGTGTCCAAAACTCAAAAGGATGTCACCAGGAGACCAAAATTTGTATCTTCCAGGGATATGGAGAAGCTTCTCAAAGGGCCAGAGTAAGTGTCCTGATGCTCCGTTTTCCGGGAAACATTTGAGATGTCCAAGCTCCGACCTCATTGGAGCCCTCACGTCTTTGGACTCAGTGTTCTGGAACATTCCGGCTGGCATGGTGCTGCTGCTTCTTTTTAATTATTTCTGAGTCGGTTGGTTTGTAAGGCTGCACCATGTAGCTGAGATAGCCTTAGGCCAGAAAACCCGTACTCCGTTCTTACTAGTTTGGCTGTGAATAGCTAGATGAACATGCATTGTGGCTGGATAGTGTTCTGCTCTGCGATTTTGAGTCTCTTCAGTTTTTCTGAGTGGATTTATAGAGAGTGGAACATGTGGAAGGAGGCATGGGGTGTGCTGGAGAGAAAGAAGGATGAAGCAGGACCTGGGTGTGGGTTTTGGGGAAGGTAAATTTGATTGAAGGGGATTTTGAGGGGGAGGAGTTTGCTGCGGGGCGGGTGCTCAACATAACTCTACTGTTGACTCATGAACTCATCAGTAAAATATGCCTTGATCACCAAAATGTTTGGAGTTTTTTTTTTTTCTGCGTAATATGTGATTATGTGTAATTCAAGAGGTTCTAACTAGGCTTTCTTGGTTTTAAGAATTCAGTGTATTTTATGAAAAGGGACAGTAAAGACAAACAGTGTCCTGTAAGGATCCAAGAATGGGAACTGAGCTTGATCACGGTGGCAGGAATGAGGATTGATCCTGACTCTGCTTCAGAATCGAAGCCACGTGGGGTGACAGATGTAAAGTACCTGGGTTCAAATTCTCCTCTGCCACTTGTTGTTGTTAGCTGCCACTGAGTCAGACAGGCTCCGACTCATGGTGTCCTCATGTCCAGTCAGTCAGCACCTTGTGATCCACATGGTTTTCACGTGTGAATTTTTGCAAACAGATTGCCAGGCCTTTCTTCCTAGTCTGTTTATCTCAAAACTTCACTGAAAGCTGCTTAGCATCACAGTAGCACCACAGGCCTCGCTGGTTGTATAGATCTGGATACTTCAGTGCCTTTGCAGCTCCTCATTTATACAGCAAGCTTTAATCACGGTCACTTCTCCATGTTGTGGTTTATATGATTCAATGATCCTGTGAATATCCTATGCTGTTGTTGCTGTTTTGTTGTTAAGTGCTGGTGAGTTGGTTCTGATTTGTAGCGACCCTATGAAACCATATGGTTTCTGAGACTGCCAATCTCCGCACAAGTAGAAAGTCCCATCTTAAGTCCCACAGAGTTTCTGGCGGGCTCAAACCACTGACCTTGTGGTTAGCTGTCCAGTACTTATCCCGCAGAGCCACCATGCTCTTTTCAATAACCATGTTGTTGTTGTTATGTGCTGTGGAGTTGGTTCAGACTCATAGCGACCCTGCACAGGGTTTCCGAGGCTGTATGGGAAGCAGAAAGCCTCATCTTTCTCCTGTGGAACAGCTGGTAGTTTTGAACTGTTGACCTTGCAGTTCGCAGCCTGATTTGTAACCACTACGCTACCAGAGCTCCTTTCAATAACCATATTACAGCATAAGTGGATACTTTGATGTAAAATGTTGGTGTTAGGTACCATCATGTCAGTTCTGACTCATAACAACACTACGTCCAACAAAACAAAACACGGCCCGGTCCTGCGCCATAGTGGTAATCCACGCTATGTCTGAGGGTGTGGCTGCAGCCAGTGTTAGCCCGTCTCATTAAGGGCCTTCCTGTTTTTCACTGATCTTCTATTTTTCCAAGTATGAGTCCCCATGTGGTACAAACTGTTAAGTGCTCAGCTGTTCACCAAGTGGCTTGGAGGTTCAAATCCACCCAGATTGCCTCAGAAGAAAACTCTGATCTAGTGCCAAAAGCTCAGACATTAAAAACCCTATGGAAGGATAACATAGTACAAAACACAAAGATAACATTTCCTAGTTTGGTGAGCCGCATCTGGGATCTTAAAGTTTTCAAATGGCCGTCTAAGATTATAACTGTTGTTCTCCTCCTGCCTGGATCAAAGAAGGAAGGAAACCAATGATCAAGGAAACAATTAGTCCATAGGACTAATGAACCACATGCACCCAGTCTGCATGACCCTAAGATCAGAAGATCTAGAAGGTGCCTGACTACCAGAGCTGATGGTTTTGACCAGAAATGCAATTGAAGCAAGCTCCCAGTTAGAATAAGAGAAGAATATAGAAAAAAAGACTCAAATTCGTAAGAAAACACCACATGTGTTGGTGTGATAGAGACTAGAGGAACGTATGAGACTATATAGCCCTTCATAAAGAGCTCTGGTAGCGTAGTGGTTACGAATCGGGCTGCGAACCTTAAGGTCAGCGGTTCGAAACTACCAGCCACTCCGCGGGAGAAAGATGAGGCTTTCTACTCCTGTAAGGATTTACACCCTCTGAAAACCTGTACAGGGTTGCTATGGGTCGGAACCGACTCGACGGCACTTAACAACAACAACAATGTGGAGCTAAAGCCATCCCAGAGAGCACCCCTCATCCAAATAATGTTGTGGTTCTTTGTTAAGTGCCACTGAGTCGGTCCTGATTCAAAGCAACTCTGGGTAGGGTTTCCAAGGAGTAGCTGGTGAGTTTGAACTCTGCCAACCTTGTGGTTCAAACCGATATTGTGGTCCAACGCTCTATCCCACAGTGCCACACCAAGACTCTTAATAATGGACGGTCCTATGAAGTGAACAGTAACATCCATACCAAAGGTGCTCCAGAGAACCATCAACTGAAGGAGACCAGTAGGCTAACATTTACCCTCCACCCCACCCCAAAATATGAAAAAGCAGGAAGGGGCAGAGATGAGGCAAATGTTGATATATTGCAGGGATGGTAAAAACAGTGTCACAGAAGAATTTGTGTATAAGCTATTGAATGGAAAACAGAGTGGCTGTGTAAACTGTCACCTGTGGTTGTTAAGTGCCTTTGAGTTGGTTCTGACTCATAGCGACCCTGCATAGGGAGGAGTGTCTGGTGAGCTTGAACCGCTGATCTTGCAGTTCAAACTGGTCTTGCGATTGAGCGCTTATCCTATGGTACCATACCAAGACTCCAAACTGTCATCAAAAGCACAGAAAAATGTTAAAAACTAACAAAAAAACAAACCCCCACAAACTGAGCAGAGCACAGTCCTACTCTGACACACATGGGACGCCATGAGGTGGCGTAGACGTGCGAGGAATTGGCTCACCTTAAAATGTGATAGGATGTCTTACTGAATTTTGTTTAAACTGTTGTTCCTTAAAGCAAAAAGTGGCATTTCATTGATTCATTTTTAATTTTTATTAATTAAAAAAATATTTCCCAGTCCTGAGCCATTTTCACAATGCTTATTTTTTAATAGTAATAAAGCTGTATTTTAAAATAGTCGGACCTGTGGTTGTGACTTAGAAACAAATGAGAAACTTCCAGTGTGTCTCCACCAGCGAGAACACAGCAGCAGATGAGGTAAAGACTGTAGACTGAGGCCTCTGGCCTCAGAGCTGTACTTTCAGGGACATTAGGGTCAATTGGCATAACATAGTCCACACAGTATGAACGGAAATGGTAACTCCAGGGAGGAACTGGGAAGAATGCTGCTGTATTATGATGATTACAATAAAAATATCATGAATCAAAATGTGTTTGAATTGTTGAAGGTTAAACCAATTTGCTCTGTAAACTTTCTACCCAAATCATATTTAAAAAAACAAAACAAACTTTTTTTTTTTTTTTTTTTATTAAGTGTAGGCGTTCCTGATGCCAAGCTACACGGTTCTTTCTGTGCATATATGTATTGCTGAGAGAAGACATTGGTCTGTGGCATTTCTAAGTATGTTACCAATCCATTGTCTGTCTCCACAGTTTACGTATGTCCCACACTTTTCCATGTGCTCTTTGCCTTGCCTGAGAACATCTTCCTTATCATGCTCATGGATCCAAATACAGAACTCAGCTCAAGTGCCACTTGTCCCGTCCAAACTTTACTGGCAAATCCATTATTGTGTGTGGTTTGGATGAAAGTTACAGAGCCCATTAGTTCTCCATTCAACCATTTATACACAACTTGTTTCAAGATAATTGGTTGTATCTAAATATATGCTAAATGTATCAGCACCCTTCCCATTTCCTTCCTGGGGTCTCTGTTCCCATTCATCCTTATTTCCTGCTCCTTCCTGCCTTCTGAGCTTTGATTTGGGAGCAAATGCTGCCCTTTTGGTCTTGTGTGGATTGTTCTGAGGAAGACGTTCATCACAGATGTTACTGTTTGCTTTGTAGGCACATCTGTTGTAAGGCTAAAAGGTGATCTCAGTGTACATTCAGTTCCAGGTTTGAGGGGTCTCTAAGGGCCACATTCTCAGGGGTACCACCAGTCTCTGTCAGACCAGTAAGTCCGATCTTCTTGTGAATTTGAGTTTTTTTCTACAGTTTTCTCCACCTTTGTCCAGGACCTTCTATTTCCTTTCAGAATGGTCAGTAGTGGTAGCTGGGCACACCTAGTCTTCCCGTCTCCGGGCGATGGTGGAGGCTGTGCTTTGTGTGGTCCAGTGGTCTTTTTTTTTTTTTTTTTAAAGTCTTTGGAACTGATTGTTTCCTTGAGCCTTTGATTTTTTTACTCTTCATTGATCCAGACCAAGGGAGACCAATAGAGATCTTAGATTTGTGAAAATGGCTCTGGACCGGAAAACATTTTTAAAAATAAATAAATAAAAATTTAAAATAAATGAGTAAAATGTCACTTTTTGCTTTAAGGAACAACAGTGTAGACAAAATTCCAGGATTATTCAGGGATGCAGTCCAAAAGGAATTAACAGAAACAAACATCTTGGACTTCTCAAGTAAACTCTAGATAGAAAGTCTCTTGGGCATATGGAGCAGGGAGCCACCAAGCAAATCTGTACTCTTTTCTTATTTGTAGCTGTCAGCTGGCACCGTCCCCATCCAATCTTGCCACTTTGAATGTTTCTCCGCAGCAGAACACTCACCAACCCCAGAGCGGATATTCGGTAAGGATTTTTGCCACATTGATGGGTGAATCATTTGAAGGTGGGGAAGAGTACTTTGGTATAAAAGTGGGTATTTCCTTGTTTATATGAATGAATTGCTTCCAAAATTCTTGGATCAAGATTCGTCATTAGAAAATGTACTGATGACGACATTACTCCTCTCCTTTAGCAGAGAAAGCCAACCACGATGGGCACCTCACTGTGTACAGAGCCCAGTCCCACACGATGTGATTTGGGCAAATTGGTTAACAACCGTGTGAGGTAGTTATGAGTCTGGCTCTCCCTTGCTATCCGAAAGTAGATTGTTCCTATGGAAGTTTTTGGAAGGTGAAATTGCATAATATGAAGAAGCAATTACCATTAGTTTATATGGGAAAGCTTTTAGAAATACTTCCAGACTCAGAAAACCACCGACCACATCACACTAAACAAGACATGAACTTTAAATTAACTCAGACATGCATTGTTCATAGACACAGTTCAAAGCTATGGTGGCTCGGTGCCGAGATGCTGAGTTGAGGGGTAGGTAGTTCCTGTGGCAGGAACGTAGGGGTGACCAGTCTCCCTGCTCGGGTGCACACGCTCTCTGACAGCTTGTTGCAGAACAAACTCTAGAAGTCAGTTTCACTTTTTGCCTTTTTTCGTATAAGTGAAAATCTTCTTCAGATTTTTTTTTTGGTTAACAAAAACAGGTACTAATGTAGGTCTTTCATAAAAGCAAAGTGGCGTAAAGCGAACTTTCAAAAAGCAGAGATATCTGTACCTCTATTTTTTAAAAAATAAAGGTGAAAGTCACATAACATAAAACGAATCATTTTAAAGTGGGCAACACAGTGGTACTGATTAATTTCACAATGCTGTGAAATCACCACTTCTATCTAAATCCAAACAATTTTTATCCACCGTACAGGAAACCCTGTCCCCATTGAGCCATTAAATAGTTAATTTCCCGTCACCCAATCAGTGTCTCTCCTTCTGCCCCCCATGGATTTACCTATTTTGGATTTTTTCCAAATTTTATATATTGTTGTTGTTGTCAAGTGCTGTTGAGTTGGTTTCAACTCAAGTGACCTGTATAGGGCTTCCAAGAAGTAACTGGTGAGTTTGAACTGCCCACCTTGGGCTTCAAATCGATCTTGTGGTTGAGTGATTATCCTACAGCGTCACACCAGGACGCCATATAAGGGTACATTGAAAAGTATTGTGACAAAAAAACCATAGAAACATTTATTAAATACAAATAATAAAAATGTGTGCAACTTGTTCTTATCATATCCTCCGTCTAGATCTATACATTTTTGAAGGTGGTGTTTGCATCTCTTTATCCCTTCTCCAAAGATGTCTGTGCGCTCCGATTTATACCAAATCAAATGGTAGTTTGGGCGTCCTTGAGGGGATCGGTCATGTTTCTTTAAATGTTGAACTTTGGGAATTAAAAGAAGTCTGAAGAGGCAAGAACTGTAGGGTGAATGGCATAGGTTTCCCAAGAAAATTCCTGTGGGACATCCCTTGCTACCCTGGAAGATGAGCGGGTGTGTTGTCATGATGGAGAAAAATCCTTTGGCACAATTTTCCCATCATTTTTCTTACCAATTCGGTTTTCAATTTTCATAAAACTTATTTCTAATAATCCCTGTGATTGTCTTGTGTCCTTTGAGAAAATCTGTCAAGATGACCCATTGAAATCCCCATAAAACCAGCCCTCATTGTGTGGCGCTGTAGATTAAAACACTTGATCCCAAGGTCGTTTGAACCGCAAGATCAGCAGTGCAAAGTCACCCGCTGCTTCTCAGAAACCCTATTGTTGTTGTTGTTAAGTGCCTTCGAGTCAGTTCTGACCCATAGCAACCCTGTACAGGGTTTCCGAGGCTGTAAATCTTTACGGGAGCAGAACGTCTCATCTTTCCCCCTCAGAAACCCTATACAAGGTTGTTATGAGTTTGAACCAACTCGATGGCACTTAACAACAGTAACATTACCTTCTGAGCCGATCTCTCTGCCTTGAATTTAACTGACCTAGCACATCCTCTTGGAAGCCATTGGTTTGATTGGACCTTTTGACTAAGACATTATTTTACTAACAGAACTTATCCTAATGAGACTAAGACAAATATATTACTGAGAGAACTTGTCTGCAACCATTAATTGATGATAGAGACATGCTTAAACACTTTTGTTTGGAATGTTGTTGTTGTTGTTAAGTGCCGTTGAGTCAGTTCTGACCCATAGCGACCCTGTACAGGGTTTTTGAGGCTGTAAATCTTTACGGGAGCAGGAAGCCTCATCTTTCTCCGGCGGAACAGCTGGTAGTTTCAAAATCTTGACCTTGAGGTTAGCAGCCCAACTCGTAACCAATACGCTGCCAGAGTTGTTAGGTGCCATCGAGTTGGAACCGATTGCAACCCCATGCGAAGCAATGTCCGATCCTGGGCCAACCTCACTACCGCTTGCGTCCATCAATGATGTCACCTGGCTGATCCATCTTGTTGGGGGTCTTCCTTTTTTTCTTCGACCCTCCATCTTACCAAGCATTTTTCTCCTGTGGGACAGCTGGTGGGTTTGAACTGCCAACCTTCAGGTTAACAGTTCAGTGCTTAGCCTATGGTGCTACCAGGCCTCCTTGTCCATTAGTTGGAGTTTAAGAAGCAGCTTATCTGTGGGATCAGACAAATGGTACCCCACCCACATGGTTTGGTAAGATTATACCCGTAGCATCTCCTCTCCTAACTGTGCTCCAGCAGTGGGTGTGGGCTTCTCCAAGTAGTTTTGATCCAACCCTGGTTTGAGAGCATTGGGCTTGGAACTTGCCTAGGCCCTGAGCTCATTCATACAGCATCAGGTCTACCTTTGCCTTCTGTAGCCACAATGTGTTGTTGACCTTATGCCTGCCCGAACAAATGGCCGCTGGCGCTTCTTGTTGTTAATGCCGTCAAGTTGGTTCTGACTTTGTGGTTCAAACTGACTTTGCAGTTCAGCTCAGTAACCCATAGCACCACACCAGGAGTGGATTCACTAAAGCTGGCACTTCTGAGCGGGCTTCTCAATCCCCTACCAACCCCACCTCAGCGGCTACAGGGCTGGATATACCAGGTTTAAAATGTTTCCTTCCTCACACTCAAAGTTTTTATTGATTTCTTTTTAGCTGTCAATCATCAATACCCAACTTCCAGAGTATAATAACATAAGTGAGAGTTTTAAAGCATCTATGAGAAATTTCAAGATTGAAAAGATCAAGAAGATCCATAATACAAAGCTCTTGAATGCTTACCAAAGGTTAGTGTCCCAACGAGCTGATTTTCTTACATAAAGTTAGATGGAATTACTGAGGATCTGTTCTTTTCGAGTTACATTCGCTGAGTATTATAGTACTCAGTGATTTCTTCAATCTCTAGTTGTCTTTTTAGTGTGTAAATCCAAGCTTCTCTTTTTCAGCTTTATAATTTCCCAATTCACTGATTGTATAGGCCTGTCATATTAAATATTTTTATAAATTGACTTTTTCATAGCTACTGCCTTCGTGCTCGTAGCTCCATTCTGAATTCTGGTACAATCATATCTGACCAGGATTAGACTTTAGCTGGGATTTGTGTTTTAACCAGAGTGGGAGAGGAAGGGTCTTTTTATTAAGTCTCTCATTTCCTATATTAGGAAAAAATCGAGTATGAAGAATGCCAATGAGAAAATCCTGTTTCATGCAACTGACCGCCGCTATGTAGAGACGATATGTGAAGACAATTTTGACTGGACCAAACATGGAATGTATGAAGTCAAATACGGAAAAGGTTTGTGCTGAAATCGAGATGCCTACTCAACAGAATCACAAATCAGGCACTATTTATGTTTCTACTGTAAGATGTATGTAAATGGTGGATTCGAACTGCCAACCCTGAGGTTAGCTGCCCAACATGTAACCAATTCTGCTACCAGTGTTCTTAAACAGTAGACAAGATGCCTTTAAACCCAAACCAGACCCACCATTGTTGAATTGTTTCACATTCATAGCGACCTGTTAGGGTTTCCAAGGCTGTCAATCTTTACAGAATCAGCCTCATCTTTTTTTTTGAATGTTTTATTGTAAATTATGTGATAGTTTACATGGGAGAACATTAGTTTTACATTCCTCCTATCGTATATCATTTCATTTCCATGGTAACAATTTCCTCCATGCATCTTCAACCTGTACCCCACAAGCCTGCACCTTGGTCATCAGCATACCTCCCTCTCCCTCTCTGAGTCTAGAGTCCCCAGCCGCTCCATCTCTCCACGTCATCATCTCTGCCTTCATCTCTGGCGTCACTGTTTCTCTGGGTAGGGTCCCATACTCTGCTTTTCTCCTTTGATGGCTCCAGGGACCTCCGCTCCTGGACTGCAAAGTCAACCACTCCCCTCCTTTTGCTACAAAACGTCTACCTTTACATTTCCAACCCTCACAGTCAGTCCTGATAGCAACTATTCACTATTGAAAACAGCCGCATCTTGACAGCTGTTCCATGGGAAAAAGATGACAACCTCAGATACCCTATACAAGGGTCACTATGGGTCTGAACCGACTCAGTCGTAGCAGCAGCAACCTGGTGTTTGGCCAAACAACTGGGAACCATAGCCTAGCCACGTTGACACATAAAATTAACCATCACAGCCCTCATGGGGGATAAAAAAAAGCTCAAATGAATGTTAAAATGTCCAAATGATTGTGGTTGAATTGCTGGCTGGAACTTGGCCCTGCTCTAGATTTAGGTATTTTTCTGGGAGTGACAAGAGTCTTACACGTGTTGGCGAAACTCTCCATCTGCTATCTGTAGTTCTTGCCCAGTTCTGATTGTGGTCTTCCTGCCTCCTGCCCCTGCCTGCTCCCACTGATGGGTTCTAATCAACAGTGGGAGCTAGACCTCTCCCATCTGAGCCACACTGTCACTGGGCTCTCAAGCATAACGGAGCTGCTGCCACACAAAGCCCTTCCAGCTTTCCTCTTCGCTCCTAAAACTTTTTGTGTGAGGATTCAAAAACCAAACAAATGCCCGTTCATCTTAATGAAACCGTTTCATAATGGGCTCAACTCAGATGACTGAGATGAAATTCACACACATCTCAAAAAAGCAAGCAGCCCAGTAGCCAGCCATTTATTTTACCCACTGGCTCTTGCAAGTCCAAATCGCAACAACCCTGTAGTGCAGGGTGGAACTGCCCCTAGAATTTCTGAGTGTATAAATCTTCACAGGAGCAGACTTTCACATCTTTTTCCTATGGAGTGGCTGGTGGGTTTGAACTGCTGACCTTTTAGTTAGAAGTCACGTTCTTAACCTTTGAGCTACTAGGGTTCCTCAGTAGTCAGCCATGGCATTAGAACATTTCCTACCAGAAGTCAGGAGGATGGTAACTTGTGAGTTTTCAGCAAGCACATCAGTCAGTACCTTATAAGGGCTCCCTTCTCATCATTTTTCCCTCAGGTAAGAAATTCTTTATCAAGGAGGTAGCTTGAAGTCTCTACACCTAAAGATAAAAAACGCTGCTTGCTTTTTCAGAAGACATCTATCCCAACCCTTATAATTCATGAAATTTTACGAACTCCACTTTACACGTTAGGTGCTCTTTTAGATTCTGGGAATATGGGCTTTTCTCATTCTAAGCGATGCTGAACAAAATGGTAGCCATTAGCCACATGTGGCTTTGTCATTATTAAAAAAATATGCTTTTGTTTGGTTAAGAAATACACACAGCAAAACATAACATCATTTTCAACATTTCCTGCATCGGCAATTCGGTGACATTAACTACATTCTTCCAATTGTGCAACCTTTCTCAGCCTCCTTTTCTGAGGTGTCCGCCACTAACACAAACTCTCTTCCCCCTAAGGTTCCTGTGTAATACTTCCAGTTGCTGTTCTCAAGTTTGGTTTCATGTAGCTAGTTCTTAAAAAATACAGTGTTCAAGGTAGCCAGTCTGCTAAAACAAGAAACTCCTATTTGGTTTTAAGAAGACTTCAGAGGATATTTTTGTTTCAGGTTGAAAGATGATCTCAGGGCCATCATTTCAGGGGTTCATCCAGATTCCATGGATGGTTCTAGAAAGTGTGTATTTCATGAGAATTTGTTCTGTTCTGTTGTTGTTATGTGCCGTGGAGTCGGTTCTGACTCATAGTGACTCTGTACAGGGTTTCTGAGGCTGTCAATCTTTACGGGAGCAGAAAGCCTCATCTTTATGCCGTGGAACAGTGGGTAGTTTCGAACTGCTGACCGTGAGATTAGCAGCCCAATTCGTAACCACTACTCTAGCTACCCTGTTTGGCATCTACAGAGTCTTTGATTGAAATGTTCAGTAATTAAAGCCAGATACCATCCAGTTTTGGTCTCATGGCAAAAAAGGCAGCTCTTTTGGAGTCCTTTAGCCACACACCAGTTTACTCCTACTATTCCTGACTCCTGACTTTGGTGCTTGAGGCGAATAGAGAGCAATTGTTATGCCTATCCATATGCATGTAAATGAATGAAAATTCAGTAAAATGAAACATTTAGCGCCTCATCTCAGTGGCTTCACAAGACTTTACAAGGCTCCTGGTCAGTGAAGTTATAAAATGTTTCCACCCCCAGAAATTTCTATTAGCTTCACTCTTATGATGGGTTAGTATATTAAGGGGCTTGGGAGGCCTGTGGCATTGTAGGATAAGTAGGAACTCAGTCACAAAGTCAGTTTGAACTGTGAGGTCAGCTGTTCAAATTCACCAGCCACTCCTTGGAAACCATAGGGTTGTATGAGTCGGAACCTACTCAATGGCACTAAACAACAGCAACAATTAAGGGGTTCAAAATTGTAAGGTCTAGTTTCTCCAGCAAATTAATGGCATAAAAAAGGAGGGACTCTTATCAAATAAAATGGACTTTAGAGATTAACAATCAAATGCAAAAATAGGTGCCTTCTTAGGTTCCTAATTAGAACAAACCAATTTTGAAAAAGACAGCTTTGAGACAATCAGAGATATGTGAATGTAGATGACTTCTTAGGAAATATTGTTAATTCTGTCATAGGTGATGATGACATGGAGGTTTGGTTATGTAAAAAGAATTGCATGTAAAAAAAGCACAGTGTTTTCGTTGTTTTAAGTTTTTGTTGTGAACTGAGTGATGGTTTACATGGGAGAACATCTGCTTTACACCATCATTTCATTGCAATGATTACAATCTCCTCCGAGCATCATCATCATTTAACAGTATTTGCTTCTATTCCCTGTTTTTTATTTTTTTTTTATTTTGGAGGGGATGGGAGGATGTACACAGAAACACTCACAAATATATAATAATTTAAACAATCAAAGGGCACATTCTGTAAGCCTGCCTCCTGGTCACCAGCACACAGCTTTTCTCTTTCCAGGAGTTTAGAGTCCCCGGCTGCTCCCTCTCTCCATGTCCTCATCTCTGCCTCCATCTCTGGTGTTGCTGCTTCTCTGGATAAGGTCCCACATTCCGCTTGTGCTCTTCTCCCATGATGGTCCTAGGCTCCTCTGTTTCTGGACTGTAAGATTGACTACTCCCTCGTTTTTGTTACAAAACTTCTACCAATAAGCACAGTGTTTTGATGATCTGATCCCATGACATTAGTTTATGGACTGAATTAGAAATTGAATCAAAATAGGTTGCAGAAAAACAACATGGTAGGAAGTCAAGTGAAACTTGTGGGACAAAGAAAATCCAGTCAGGGGGAAAACCAAACTACCAAGTTGGGAGAAAGTGTTTCAGGCAGACGACAGCTTCACAGACAGCTGGAGACAGCAGGGCACACCAGGAGGAGCCGTGGGAAGTCCTGTGGAGTGGTAACACTGAGGCTGGAACCGGGAGCTGAGAACAGAGCCTGAATGAAGTCCTATTAGGGGAGGAGTTTGATTTTTTTTTTTTTTTTTTAACTTTTAGTGTGAATTGAATGAAGATTTATGGAGCAGATCATCAGTTTTACATTCAAGAAATAATACAGCTCCCCCCCTTTCCATGTCCCATCACTTCCTCCCTGTGATTCTTGTTTCTCTTCTTCCTTTCTCCATTCTTCTGAATTTTGTCCTTAGGTAAACGTTGCCCTTTTGATCTCCACTGGTTGACTATTCTTATAGTGTGAGTACCTCACTAGTGGTGTTGTTTCGCCTCCCTCCCCCCGTCCCCCATAGATCTGTCTACTGCTTGGGTGAGAATCAAGCCATGAGAGTAAGTTCCATTCTAGACCTGAAAGGTGACCAAGGCTCATAGTGTCAGGCTTCCGCTAGTCTTTATCTGACCAGTCAGACAGATTCTATCTTGAGGATAGTGGCTTTAGGAAGGAGAATGATCTAGATTGGAGGTGGAAAGATCAATTTGGAGGCATCAAGAGTCCAAGCCAATGCAAATCAAAACAACAATAAGATATCATCACCAACAATAACAGCAAAAATCAAAAATGTAGAGGACAATAAATGCTGGCGGGGATGTGGTGAGACTGGGACACTCCTGCACTGCTGGTGGGACTGCAAAATGGTCCAACCTCTCTGGAAAGCAATATGGCGCTTCCTCAGAAGGTTGAAAATAGAAATACCTTATGATCCAGCAATTCCTCTACTTGGTATTTACCCACAAGCCACAACACAAGAAGATATATGCACACCAATGTTCATAGCAGCACTATTTACAATAGCAAAAAGATGGAGACAGCTGAAGTGCCCATCACCTGAAGAATGGATAAAAGAGTCCAGGCCAGAAAAGAGGGTGTCCTGGGCCAGTGGGGACCAGGATATCTATTTCCTGAGAGGAATTTTTGCAACAGCAAAACAGTTCAGGTCTTAGGAGGAGGGTGGGTCACACGGTTGAGTCTCAGAGTTGATTCCTTGAAGAATTTGTACTCACATTCCAGATTATATGTTGTTAAGTGCTGTCGAGTCAATTCTGACTCATAGTGACCCTGTATAGGGTTCCAAAGAATAGTTAGTGGGTGTGAACTGCTGACCTTGTGGTTCACAGTCCGGTAGTTATTGTACTGTGCCACACCAAGACTCCAGATTATATAAGCTGATTTAAAACTCCCTGAAGTGACATAGAGTAATGGGTTTTGTTTTCTGAATTGTTGTTATTGTTAGGTGCCAATGAGTCGGTACCGACCCATAGCGACCTTATGCGCAGCAGAACGAAACACTGCCCAATCTGGGCCAACCTCATTACTGTTGCCACGTTTGAGTCCATCAATGCTGCCGCTTGGCCAGTCCATTTCATTGGGGGTCTTCCTCTTTTTCTCTGACCCTCCATCTTACCAAACATGATATCCTTCTCCAGCGATTGGTCCCTCTTGACAATATGTCCAAAGTATGAGAGACAAAGTTTGGCCATCTGGGCCTCTAAGGAGCACTCTGGCTGTACTTCCAAAACAAATCTATTGGTTCTTTTGGCAGCCCATGGCACTTTCAATATTCTCCAACACCATAACTCAAAGGCATCAATTCTTCTATGATCTTCCTTATTCAGTGTCCAGCTTTCACATGCATATGAGGTTATTGAAAATACCATGGCTTGGGTCAGGCGCCACCTTAGTCCTCAAGCTGACATCTTTGCTCTTCAACACTTTACAAAGGTCTTGTGCAGCACATTTGCCTAATGCCGTACGTCGTTTGATGAACATTGCTAAATGTATCTTCCAAAGCTCTTTAATACTTGTCTAAAAAAATCAGTTTTTTTAAAAATTAATTTCACAAGTCTTTGATTCGGGGTGTTGTTGTTAGGCGCCTTCAAGTCGGTTCCAACCCATAGCGACCCTGTATACAACAGAACCTGGTCTTTCATGATTTTCCTAATGTTTCCACCCATTGTTGCTGCCACTGTGTCAATCCATTTCATTGAGGGTCTTCCTCATTTTCTCTGTACCTCCAGTTTACCAAGAATGATATGCTTTCCAAGGAATGTTCCCTCCTGATAATATAGCCAAAGTATATGAGATAATGTCTTTCTATTAAGGAGTATTTTCACTGCACTTCTTCTAAGACGGATTTGGTTGTTCTTCTGGCTGTCCCATGTTTTCATATTCTTCCCCAACACCATAACTCAAATGTGACAGCTCTTCTCCAGTCTTCTTTATTCACTGTCTAGCTAGTTTCCACATGTATATAAGGTTATTGAAAATACCCTGACTTGGGTCATGTGCACCTTAGTCCTCAGAGAGACACATCTTTGCTCTTTAACACTTCAAAGAGGTCTTTTGTAGCAGATTTGCCCAATGCAATATACTTAGCATTGATAAGCAAAAGTCACTACATATCCAAATAAGCATTTAGACTTCCTTATAAAATTAAAAATTCAGTTGAAGAAGTACGGAAATAATTCAGTGCAATTAAAATGTATGTACAACTGTTTTCAAATTTGGAAACTGAGATGTTATGGCTTTATCAAGCAATGAAAATGTACTTCCAAGGGGATGAAAAAGGAATGAAATTCCTGATTGTTGATTACATTCCCTTTGCTTTAAGTCAGATCTATTCTTTATTGATACTTTCATAGCGTTTATTTTAGATGCATAACTGTAAAAATAACACTTATTTAGAAATGTTAGCATTTTGAGATGTACGTGAGAATCTTAATGTTGTTATTATAAAACTCCTCTGATCATGTATGTTTATCCATGGGAGTACTTAGAATATACTTAGTCCTATTTCATGTTGTTGTTGTTAAGTGTTGTCAAGTCAGTTCTGACTCAGAGTGACTCTGTATAGGAATTCCAAGGAGCAGCTGGTGGGTTTGAACTGCCGACCTTGTGCTTCACAGTCCAGTGCTTGTCCTACAGTACCACACCAGGACTCTTAGTCTTATTTCATAGATGATGATTTTTCTCAGGAGTGAGGCACAGAAGAAGCACTAGAGGCAGGTGGTAGGAACCTTTCAGAGAGGAGTGAGAAAGACAAATCTGCAAAACCATGAACTCAATAACGTTTTTCTCCCTCGGGAGCTGTTCGGGTAGCCCTCTCCCCTCAGAAGGTCGTCTCTGTATTAAGTCATGGCGCAATGGTTGTTGTCAAGTGCTGGTGAGTTGGTTCCAAATCATAACCACCCTGTATTGCGGCATTTCTGAAAAACGACTGGTGGATTTGAACTGCTGACTTTGCAGTTCTAACCTGAACTTGTGGCCTAGTGCTTATCCTGGAGCGCCACTCTAGGCTCATTGGTGGTGCTGTGCCTGTCGAGTTAGTTCTGACTCATAGGGACCCTGTATAGGGTTTCCAAGGCTGTAAATCTTTACAGGAGCAGAGATGTTTCTCCCGTGGAGCAGCTAATGGATTTGAACTGCTAACCTTGCAGTTAGGCAAGTTATAGAGTTGCCCAATGCATAACTCACTATGCTACCAGGGCTCTTTGGCTCAGAGATACAATTCTCAAATTCCATGCGGTATACCAGGATTCAATTCCTGCCTCCGGACCGCCTACCACCTCTTAATGACACATACTTCTGTTTTTCAAAAGTTTGCTTTACTATCTTTCATGCTCATGAAACACCTACATTAGTACCTCTTTTTGATAACCAAAAGAATTCTGAAGAGCGTTTTTGCTTTTAGAGGAAAAGAAAAATGAAACTAGTATTCAGATTGTTTGACAGTGTGAAGCGGAGCCGTGAGAATGGCGCCACCAAGCGCCTTCCCAGGGAACTACACTCAGAATCGCAGCCTCAAACGTGATGTCTGTGAATTTCTGTTAAGTACCTCCTGGCTAGTACGTTCCACTCACAGCCACACTGTATAGGGTTTCCAAGGAGGAGTGGCTGGTGAGCTTACATATTATAGGTAGGAGCTTCAAAAAATTCGTGGAAAAAATGGAATTGAAAGATAATGGAATTTTGCCACAAATTTTTTGAAGTCCTCTCATATTTCTACTTTACATTGTTGTTGTTGTTAAGTGCCGTCGAGTCGGTTCCGACCCATAGCGACCCTGAATAGGGTTTCCAAGGCTGTAAATCTTTACGGAAACAGAGAGCCTTATCTTTCTCCCGCAGAGCAGCTGGTAGTTTCGAACTGCTGACCTTCAGGTTCTCAGCCCTATATGAATTTATCGTATTATACCTGGTTTTACTATTTGTTGTTTATTTTAGGTTTTATGTATTATTTGTATATATTTATGTAATATATAAATTTTAGGCTATTTTTTCCGTCTTGTTCTTGTTGAGTGCTGTTGAGTCGGTTCCGACTCATAGGGACCCTGTATAGGGTTTCTGAGGAGCTGCTGGTGAACTTGAACCGCCGACATTGATGTTCAAATTGACCTTGCAGTCCTGAGTATTAACCCACAGTGCCACACCAGGATGGCTTAAAAATCTTTCCTGTATTAATTATGGAATGGTAATTGCTTCTAGGAGACCTGGTGTAGCACTGTAGGATAAGCACTAGACTGCTAACCATAAGGTTTTTGTTGTTGTCAGTGCCGTTGAGTCGGTTCCAACTCATAGTGACCCTGTCGGGTTTCCAAGGAGCAGCTGGTGGGTTTGAACTGCTGACCTTGCAGCTTAAACTTACCTTGTGGTCCAGCAATGCCACAATAGTCGTGCCTATGGAAACCCTATACAGGGTCTCCGTGAGTCAGAACTAACTTGACAGCATTAAACAGTAACACAATAGCTTCTTAGCTTCACACTAGTGTGGCTTAGGTTTCATAGGAACACTCTACTTTCAGATCTCAGGGAAACCTATAAAAAGAAAGGCTTATAAGCATCTGGAAGGTAATCTCTTAGGTGGTGTGGTGGTGCAGCAGGTGAAACACTTGGCTTCTAATGGAAAGGCTGGCTGTTTGAGCCCACCAGTGGGAGAAAAGACATGGTGATCTGCCCCCTAAAGATTATAACCTAGAATCCCTGTGGAGCAGTTCACGGTGTCATAGACAGTCAGTATGAGTCAAAAATGGACACGCTGGCACCCAACAAGGGGACATTGACATATATTTACTAGATACCCACCAACTGATTATACGTAAAATATCCTAAGAAATTACAACACTTTTATAATAATCCTTGACTTTTACCTTTTTTCTGATTGTTTCTAGGAAGTTACTTCTCCAAAGAAGCCTTCCATTCCCACAAAAATTGCCTATCTGATGAAAAAACCAGAGTTATGTTTGTAGCTCGGGTCCTCGTTGGTGATTTCGTCGAAGGAAATGTGACATACACGAGACCTCCTTCCAAGTATTATGACATGGAAACTTCCTATGACAGTTGTGTGGATACAAGGTTGAATCCCTCTATTTTTGTCATTTTTCAGAAAGATCAGATCTACCCAGAATACATGATTGAGTATTCTGAAACAGACAAATCTTGTAGGATTAGTTAGATACTAACTAATCTGCGTCATGGGGAACAACATCCTTTCACTTATCGAATCTAATGGCCCTGGGTAATAGTTACACTCTTACATCACCTGACCTGGACATAGGTCCTCAATCAGGGATCCCTAAATTCTGCTGCATATTTGATTCATTCCCTAGGGCCACCTCAACAAAGTACTTCCTGATCTAAGATTCCCAACCCTCCAGAACTGAGACAACAAATTTCTGTTGTCTAAAACCACTTGGTTCGTGCTTCTTTACTGCTCTGTAGTGGGAAATTTCACATGGGCTTCACAACATCAAAACATAGGAAATGATTCACTACTGATTAGTAAGGAAGCACAGGTAAGCACGTACTGGGTTCTCATCCCTGTCAGGGATTTTAAATTTGAAAAGAGACTTTGATTTTGTGGAAAGGTGCTGTGGAGTTGGGAGAGACCTAGAAGCCGAATCTTAGAGGCTGTGAAACATGTGAAGTTAGTTGTTCACTACAGATGAATGAGTAAGCCCCACCTACCTGGCTTATTGGGTAATTTGCTTCTGGATTATGAATGTCCAATTTACTGTCAATACTGATGTGAATTTGCCCTCACTTTGAAACGAATGAACCAATTCCTACAAATTTTTTACCTTCACTGATTGCAATGTGCAGCTTTTAAATCCATGAAAAGGTTTGAGCCCTTTCTTGCTGTAAAATGACTCTAAATAAACCCATATACACCTGCTTACACTAACGACACACTTAGGAATAGATCAGTGTTCAAAACCCAGGGACTGCTGTATTCACAATGGTCTTCAATTACTGTATGGTGTGATTTTGTTTAGGTTAAATTGAATGCAAATTAGTTTGTGAAATTTGAGGAAATTCTAAAAATGCCTATCCTCACAGAAGTGCATAACATATTACAACCTTGGATTAAAGCGTTATAGGGAAAAAAAATGCTCTGGTACACACTGGAAAAAAAAAAATTAATATGATTACGGACACACATATAATTCTGTGCCATATTTTTGTGGTGAAACCATCTTGGCACACAGTTATCTATCTCAAAGTTTATTTAGGGGCAGATTCCACTAGGTTGATTCTTTCACTCTGCAGTACAAAGCCACCAAGTGTGTACAGAAAAAACAACAGCTGGAGTTCATGGCTCGTTAAAGCTCTTTACACAATGTGGACAACGCAGATATTTATCATCTACTTATTGTGACTGTAGAAAGGGAAGTTCTTACAGATCAGACTTTCATGAAGTGGTGGAGGAGCGGGTGTCTGCCACATGTCCAGGTGTTGCCTGGGAGATGATGATTCTTCTTAGCAGAAGACTGAGCTCCAGTAACCCAATTCATACAAGCTTGACTCATAAACCTGAGAGCTATTGTAATCGCTTGATGCAGATGAGGCTCACCAAGGCATTGTGATCAGGGCCACATCGCCAAAGGACTGTGCCCCTAAATAGGTCTGTTTTGTTTCCTGGTGAGCAGAGTGAAACCAATGAAAGCGTCACCCCAAACATCCAGCAAAGGGCCCCTTTTTATGTATAACTGACTTTGGAAATGTAGTTGGTCATTTTATTCAGCTTGGGCCAGTATTTCTTTCCTTAGTATGAATAGGTTTTTCTTCCACTTTTCCCTATTCAACATTTTGTATCAGTCGTCAAAAGGTCCTTTTATCATATACTTCCTTCTGGCAGATGAGAGGTACAAATAATTGGCATTAGAGTTGATTTTGTGTTACTCAGATTTTGCATCTTTGTAAAAATCTCCACAGCTCCTTGGTTTAAAGGGTCCCACCCAGAGGTGCGCCAACGAGTGCTTTCTGTTCACCAGCTGTGTGAGAGGGTTCAGCAGGTTAAGACTAATTGCCATAGGCGCTATTTTCCGTAGAGACGAGGGGCTTCTGAAAGTTCATGGAAAAATTCCATTTTCCCATGAACTTTTCTACTTAGGAGAAATAAAATTACTTAATAATGATCTTTTAAAACCACAAAATCATTGTCACGGTCCTACATGATCCCTGCCTTCCCAGCTCTCTGCCATGTAGTTTCTGTCGGCTCCTTGGTGCCCCACACTTTGCTTAACTCAGTGGTCCTCAAGTAGTACACTTGCCTTTTGCTTTTTTGGGGGACAAAACTTTTTAACATTTCATTTATTATCCTTAAAAGCAATTCCTAGTTCATAGGTAAATATACTCCACATGATTTTAGAAATGAACTAAAATGACTATAACAGGAAGTAAAAGGAATGTAGGAGTCAGGAGCTTGCACCTACTTATAATGAAGAAATATGTACAGTTGACCCTCGAACAACCAGGGCTGAACTCCTTTGGTTAATGCGGTGGTGAGCTTGAGTGTCTCCAGTATCTGCTTAATGTGATGTTCTTCATTTCTGTGTGAGCAGCTCTAAGTTGTCAAGGACTTCATTCTTCTTGGATCAACCATCAATGGAAGCAGCAGTCAAGAAATCAAAGGACATATTGCATTAGGCAAATCTGCTGCACAAGACCTTTTTAATGTGTTGAAGAGCAAACATGTAGTTTGAGGACTAAAGGTGCACCTAACCCAAGCCATGGTATTTTCAATCACCTCATATGCATGTGAAAGCTGGACAGTGAATAAGGAAGAACATAGAAGAATTGATGCTTTTGGGTTATGGTGTTGGAGGAGAATACTGAAAGTACCATGGGCTGCCAAAAGAACCAATAGATCTGTGTTCTAAGGAGCCAGAGTGCTCCTTAGAAGCCAGGAGGGCCAGACTTCGTCTCTCATACTTCTGACACATTGTCAGGAGGGACCATTCGCTGGAGAAGGGTATCATGTTTAGTAAGATGGAGGGTCCGACAAAAAGAGGAAGACCTCCAGCAAGATGGATGGGCAAAGTGGCAGCATCAATGGACTAAAGCATGGCAACAATTGTGAGGTTGGCCCAGGACTGGGCATTGTTTTATTCTGTTGTGCATAGAGTCACTATGAGTCGGTACCAACTCGATGACACCTAACAACAACAACACCCTTCCATTCCCCTTCATGTGGAAAGAAGAATGTGGAACTGTCTTTGAATCGGATACTCGTAACACTTGAGCTCACCTGCAATAACCATGAGGGGATAGGGGGGTGAAATCCACATATAAGTGGACCCATGCAGTTCAAACCCATGGTGTTCGACATCAGCTTCAATGAAGGCAGGAAATCAGAAGCTATTTTGTTCAATTGGGGAAACCACAAAGTTAGGATAAAAACCAGTGATGCAATACTTTATTTGCTTCTGATAGTACTTACTTTTATATGATAAAGGAACGGAACAACCTTATTTGAAATAAAGATAATATGCAAGAAAATGTGCAAGCTGTCAAAACAGAGGACATGAAGCACAGTGACATTCTTGCAGACGAGCTGTAGGTCATATAAGAATGTCCAATGAGACATTCAAACTTCGCACAGGGTACGTACTCATTCTTTATTGTGTGAAACTGTCTAACATATTTTGAGATATTCAGCAATATATGTTGACAGTCCCACATTAAATGCCAGCAGCAGCTCACCCCCAATCACTGGCAACCATAATCAGACCTACTAGCCTTTTTTAGAAAATACAGATATTTTGTAATATCCTTTTGCTGTCCTGAGGTAATTCATAGGCAATATAAGCTATTCATATACATGAATTTCCAAGATCAGTTTAATGCCCAAGGTCTATTATAATACAGAAGTAGAAGGAAAGGAATTTGTAATGACAATTACATTAATTTCAGTATGTAAATATTTAGGTATGACTGCTGTAAAACAGCATGAAATAGCTGGATGTTTACTCCTAGTGGTAATGAGCAGGATTGCATTTAAGAGTCGATAAAAAGTTGCCCTGTAAAGAAGTACAGGAAAAGGAAAGACGAGAGGGTACATAGGGACCCTAGAATTAAAGCCAGTATTTAGCTTACGTCATATCTCCATATAGCTTATCTGTATATGCTAAGGGAAAGAGCGAAATTACCTTAATTGAAGTAAGGATAATAGGATGAACCACTTTACAGATTGATCTGATGAGTTACAGTCTCAGACAAGACGTAGGTCCTACGTAGGTGTCCTAGTGGACGTTAGAAAGTCGAACAGGGTACAGAACAGTTCTTTTTTGTGTGAGACTAACCCACACATGGAAGGGTCTCTGTTATCCCTGGTACATCCACATCTTGTCAGTAACAGCCCATCCATCACCAAATGACCGCAAGTGTGAACCACTGACCTAGTGAAGGTCTGTCTAACGTCCTTAACCAGTTGATTCTGACTCTTGGCGACCGTGTGGGTGTCAGAATTAAACCGTGCTTACACTTACCATCCAAATGTATGAATTGTTTGCTGCATCCTGGGACTCGTTAGCGGCCTTGGTTAGTGTAATTGTTACTTCCATAGTGAATCTTGGGTGTTGCAGTAAACCTGCCAGGTCTAATGCAAATGTTGACATTTCAAATCTACCCAGGGGCACCTGGGAATAAAGACCTGGCGATCGCCTCCAAGGGCTGAAACCCCAATGTAGCACTGTTTTACTTTGACATGGGGTTGCCATGATGCCAGGAATCCAACTTGATGGCAACTGATTTGTTCTACTTCCAGTTACTTTCCTTCTCTTGGTAAGACCAGTCATTGTATCCTAAACCACAGTCTTTTGTTTTTGTTTTAATATTTGTGTCACACCACAGGTTTTTAAAAGACTTTGCACCTTGCTTTGTTCACCTTTAGCATTTATCTAGCATGAATGTGTCTGCTTTCTGCCATAGACTGTAAGCCCCATGAGGGCAGAGTTTAGATCCAAATCCTAGCCAAGCGCAACCCTCTACGTCTAACAAATGATGTTGAATTTATTCAGATTAATGACTATATTTCAATACTTAAGTTGTAAGATCTCCTCTTGTTCCTCTTCATACTTAATTTGAGAGCATGTAATAAAAAGAAATCTATACCAATTTTGTTATGCTGCCTTGATTAGCTCTTGCTCTAGGTATTCCAAAAAGAGAATCGGCAACAGACTTCAGTTTATTGAGTGGGGTATGTTGCTTGTTGGTAGGTGCCCTCTGGTTGGTTCTGACTCATAGCCACCCCACGTACAACAGAACGAAACTACGTGGTCCTTAGTTATCCCCAGTTATTGCTTGTTGCAACCACTGCATCAGTTCATCTCCTTGAAGGACTTCGTCTTTTACTCTGACCCCCGATTTTACCAACCATGATGCCTCAGCCACGTTGCTTCCCGGTTGCAGAGAGATGATGTGTTTTGCCCCTTTTGGTTTTCAGTTCCAGAGTAGCCTGGGTGGTGCGGTGGAGAAAGCACTGTGTTGCTAACTGAAGGGTCAGTGATTCCGCCACTATTTCATGGGAGAAAGATGATGACAGCCAAGGAAACCCTACGGGGCAGTTCCCGCTCTGTCCTGTGTCAAGTCACAACAGCTTGGATTTTTGTTTTTCTGACCTCCAGCACACCACAGGGCAAGGGAGGGGTTACCACAGGTTGTTAAGTACCATCCAGTTGGTTCAGACTCAGAGCTACCCTATACAGTGTTTCCTAGGAGTGGCTAGTGGGTTGGAACTGCCAACCTTGAGGTTAACCGTCTGGTACGATTGTACAGCGCCATACCAGGACTCTGGTAGATGCTGGTTTTAAAGAGCAGACATGTATTGCCTTCAGAGTTCTGGAGGCTACATGGGTCTTGGCCATGGACCCCCCACCATCAAATTCCAAGACAGGCTCTCACCTGGTTCCTGCCTGGCTTGGTGTCTGGGTGGAACCCTGGGTCACTGGAGACTCAGTATTGGATGGACCATGCTGTGTGGGGTGGTATCTGCTTGACCATCTGATTTTGGAGGGCTGGCCGTACCCGCCATGTCCCATGTGGAGGTATCCCACTGTCCCCGCTAACTAGGAGTGGCTCTTGTCGTCCCTGTCTGATTTTGGGTATACTCCACTGTCCCTGCTGACTGTAGGGTTGTCCTCCTCGCCCCGCGCCCCTTCCGGCGGGCGGTCCGGGCCAGGCTAGGCTGGGAGGAGCCTGCGCCAGCGGCGGGGTCGAGCAGGCAGAGGCATGGCGGAGCCCACTCTCTGCTCCTTCCTCACCAAGGTGCTGTGCGCGCACGGAGGCCGCATGTTCCTGCAGGACCTGCGCGCACACGTAGAGCTGTCGGAGGGGAGGCTGCGCGCAGCGCTGCAGGCGGCTGGGCCCTCGCGTTTCCTGCTGCAGGACGTGGCCGAGCCCGAGGGGCCCGAAGGCCTGCCGCTGCTGGACTCGGCCGCCCCGGAGGGCCCGGGCGGCGCGGGCGCGGCCTGCAGGGTGGTGGCTGTGTCGGCCGCACGGCTCTGCGCACGCTACCAGCGCGCCGAGTGCTCGGCCTGCGACCAGCTGCACCTCTGTCGCCGCCACATGCTGGCCAATTACCCGCACCGCGACTGCTGGTGAGTTGGCCGGGCCTTCCCACCTGGATCCTGTGCCATCTCTCCCTGTCCGGAGGCGCCTCCACCAGGAGGCACCTACACCAGGGCAGGTTAATCGGGAGCAGGAGTCTGCGCTCCTTTCCTCCAGGGGCCCTTTGGGGAGCCATGGGGAGCCCTGCGCTCTGTTCCTAGACCACGGAGCCCGACGGAGCAGGCCTGTGGCTGCGAGTTTGGAAACCTCGGGCTGGTGGGCTGCGAGGGAACGGAAACGTGAGGGCTTGGGGGCTGGAGAGATTGGGGCTGGAGATGCCAAAGACCCCATATTCCATATGCCACACTCTGGCGGCTTTCTTTGTAATGGTGGTCCCCGGAGCCGGGAGGGGAGGGGGGGGTGCGGGGGTGCTGCTGTGGGTGTGGTAACTGTTAGCATGCCAGAGGTCATGTGCAGCCCACCAGCGTCCATCTGAGGTCAGGGTAGGTGTGGTGGGAGGGAGGGCCGCATGCCCTTGATAAAAGAGTTGTCCTTTAAAAGGAAGGTGAGCTGCAACGACACAGCTTGTTGTTGGTGTTACTTTGAGAGCTGATGTGGCGCTGTAGGGTAAGCACTGGTCTGCTAACCTTGAGTTTAGCGGTTCAAACACATCAGCTGCTCCTTGGAAACCCTATACAGGGTCGCTGTGAGTCTGAACTAACTTGACACTTAACAACAACAAGTCTTGAGTTGATGAACCTGTAACCCCCCCCCCCCACACACACACACGCATATGCAGAATAGGGTTTGCTCCATAGGGTTTGCAAGGCTGGGACCTTTCAGAAATGGATTGCCAGTCCTGTCTTTTGAGGCACTTCAAACTGCCAACCTTTCCACAACTAGTTGAGTGCTTACCTTTGTACCTCCCAAAACCAAACTCACTGCGTGGAGTCAAGTCTGACTCATAGCCACCCTATAAGGACAGTAGAACTGCTCTATAGGGTTTCCAAAGCTTTAGCGCAAGACTGCAAGGTTGGTTTGAGCCACAAGGTCCACGATTCAGACTTACCAGTTGCTCCTCAGAACCCCTATACTGGGTCACTATGAGTCGGAAGCGACTCCATAGCACTTAACAGCACAGCAGTAGCAAATCTTATGGAAGCAGACTGCCTCATCTTTGACCCGTGGAACAGATGGTGGTTTGAACTATTAACTTTTCAGTTAGCAGTCCAGCACTTAACCCACAGTGCCACCAGGATTCATTTTGCACCTCACAGGCCATCTACCGGTAGAGTCACAAAGTTCCTTAGAAACTGCCCCTAGGAAGGAGTCTTGTTCACCTGGGCTCCTGATTGAAGATGTCTTCCCTTAGGTCTACGTGTACCCTTTCCCATGATATCCACACGCCTGGCAACATTCAAGTCCTGAAAAACCACGGGATTTTTGGCCTCAATGAAGCCCAGCTTCGGATCCTGCTTTTGCAGAATGACCCCTGCCTTTTACCAGAGGTGAGTCTCTACGGGAGTGACCCAGAACAAGAGTCCCCCACAGAAGACAGCTTGGGGTGTCACAGTGGCCGTTAAGGCATCTCTTTGTGGGCTTCGGTGGACAGGGGTAATGGGCTGTGTGGTATAGGAGGCATAACAGTGACAGCTGCATTTCCAAGTGCTTACTGAACACCGAGTCCAGGTGTGGCACTGTGGGCTAATGCGTCAGACTGCAAAGTCGTTTGAACTGCAAGGTCAGTGGTTCAAGCTCACCAGCTGCTCCTTGGAAACCCTATACAGGGTCACTATGGGTCGGAATTGACTTGACGGCACTTAACAACAACAACAACCGAACACCGAGCATTCCCACACCTTAAACCTACCTACTGCTGTTGAGTGGATACTGACTCTTAGCAACCCGACAGGACTGAGAAGAACTGGTCTTTAAGGTTCCGGAGACTGTAAATCTTACAGAGGCAGACTCCCCTCGTCTTTCTCCCAAGGAGTAGTTGGTGGGTTCGAACCACTTACCTTTTAATTAGCAGCCCAACATATAATCCACTTTGCCAACAGGATTTCTTTGTATACTTAAAAAAAGTATACACTACCTACCATCCAATCAATTCCAACTTATAGCTACCCTATGTCTATAGAAGCAGACAGCTTCATCTTTCTCCCACAGATTGGATGTGGACTTGAAGCCCTGACCTTGTGGTTGGCAGTTCTCCAGTACCACCAGGGATACGTTATATACTTGGGTGTTGTTGTGAAGTGCTGTTGAGTTGATTCCGACCCATAGCGACCCTGTATAGGATTTCCAAGGAGCAGCTGGTGAGCTTAAACTGCCGACCTTGCAGTTCAAACTGGCTTTGCAGTCTGGCGCGTTAACCCATAGCGTCTTACCAGGACTTAAAAGGGTACCCGTTAAAATAGCACTAATGGTGAAATTGGAGTCCTGGTGTGGCACTCTGAGTTAATGAGCTGGACTGCAGAGTCAGCTTTGAACTGCAAAGTTGGCGGTTCAGAATCACCGCTAAGGGTCAGAACTGACTGAAGGGCACTTAACAAAAAAATGGTGAAATGAGCATGTTTATTTCTGTTTGGCTATTATTAATGTGATGTTAAATGCCTACTGAGTCTCTTAACAACAGCAGTAGTTGTCTTTCTGTCCATTCTTCTTCTTTTTCAAATTTTTGCTGTTTAATCAATTCTCACTTGTTTCCTTTTGCAGATAAACTCCACAATCTTTTAAATTCCTGAAAAGCTTTTACAGGGTTGGTTTTGTTTAAAGAGGGGGTGGGGATTGCATTAAAATGACGTGTCCGCTTTTAAAAATTGGCATCAGTATTGTAAGTAGACTGTCTTTTCGAACTAATTATACATTATTGTGTTTTAAGAAGCCCTAATGGCCTTGTGGGTTAATGTGTCAGACTGCAAAGTCGTTTGAACTGCAAGGTTGGAAGTTCAAGCTCACCAACTGCTCCTTGGAAACCCTATACAGGGTCGCTGTGGGTTGGAATCGACTCGACAGCACTTAACAATGAGTGGCATTGTGGAGTCCTGGTGTAGCACTGTGGGCTAATGCCCTGGACTGCAAAGTCATTTAAACCTCAAGGTTGGTGGTTCAAGCTTACCAACCGTTCCTTGGAAACCCTATACAGGATCGCTATGGGTCAGAAGTGACTCAACAGCACTTAACAACAACAAAAACAAAGTGGCATTATAGGGTAAGCACTGAACTGCTAATTTTAAGACTGGTAGTTCAAACCCACCAGCTGCTCAACAGGGCACAGATGAGGCTTTCTGCTCCCAGAAAGATTTACAGCGTAAGATACCATATACAGGGTCATTATGAGTCAGATTCCACGTGATGACAGCAGGCTTGGGTTTTTTGTTTTGTTTTTTAGACCATAGCTATTTTTATTACTTGGACTCAGGAGAATAAAGAACAGAAAATAACTTAAGGGGCTTTCATTTGTTATGACAAACCCTAACGTTACCTCGAATGCCTTTTCCCGTTCTCTGTCATTGGATCCATCTGAAGGAGATCAGCTGGCAGGCCTGGGAGAGACTTCCATCCTTTTTCTGTGAGCTGCTAGAGGAGACATGTTTGGATGGGAAGCCGATTTCTCTGGCTTGACTATCTCATGGAGTTGAAAGATTTACTGTCTTTGGTGGGATGTCACCTTGTAGATGGGATAGAAGTGACAGAGAGTCTGGGTTGAGAGGCTGAGGTGAATTTAGTACTCCCACCGCACCCCAAGAATCCCACTGTTGTTGTTGTTAGTTGTCAAGTTAGCTCTAACTCATGGTGACCCATGAACAACAGAACAAAATGTTACCCAATCTTGTGCCAGCTTCCTGATTGTTGGTATGTTTGAGTCCATTGTTATAGCTACTACGTATTTTGAGTGCCTTCCACACGAGGGGGCTCATCTTCAGCACTTTATCAGAAAATCTCTTCTTGTGATCCACAGGGTTTTTCTTGGCAAATTTTTTCTTAGTCTGTCTTAGTCTAGAAGCTTCACTGAAACCTGTCCACCATGGGTCAGTCACCCTGCTGGTATCTGCAATACTGGCAGCATAGCTTCTAGCATCACAGACACACACAAACCACCAGAATATAACAAACTGATAAGCCGGTGGAAAATCTGGTAAGAATCCTTTAAATAGTTGCAAACCTTCCCACACATCATGTAGCACGTCTCTACTGACTTGGACCAATAGGATCGTGAACCTTGATTTCAAAGGCAGTGTTTGCTTGAGGTGGTATCTTGTGTCACTGTGGATGTGGAGGGCAGCCAATGGCTTGGCAGTCTGGCTGGGGTCTTGGTTCAGACAGCAGGTTTGGTTTTGGTTTTATTGTGTTTTAGGTGAGTTTACAAAACAAATTTTTGTTGTTGTCATCAAGTGCTGTCGGGTCGGTTCTGACTCATGGTGACCCTGTATAGGATTTCCAAGAGTGTAAATCTTTGTGGGAGCAGAAAACCTCATTTTTCTCCAGTTGAGCCAAAAAGTATCAAAGCAAATTAGGTTCTTCTCCTTGGACCTTTTTTATACAAATTGGTCACAATGTGTCTACAGTCTCTTATTTTCATTGTTTGTCCTGTTTCTATTGATCTAACTTTTCTATGGACCCTTGCCCCCTCACCTTTGTTTTTGGGTAAATGTTAAGCATTGGATCTGCTATAGTTCATGGTTTGAGGGACCTGTTACTCACAGTGATACTGTTTATCGTCTAAGTCGGTACCTGTTACTCACAGTGATACTGTTTATCGTCTAAGTC